TTGGGAGCAGTTGCTGCCAAGGGTGGCGGATTGGGGGCGGTTTGGGTGCCAGGGGGTATTTTTGGCCTTATTTTGTTGCTGCTGTAGCACCTGGTCTGTGCCGATTGTAAAAGGGAGTCGCGTCGGGTTGGGGAAGGGAGCAGAGGGGGGGCAGCTGGGGTTGGTAGCGCTGCTGGGGAGATGCCAAAAAACCAAAACAAAACACGTTTTCATTTTGTCTGCACCAGCCTGGGCGCAGGCGAGCGCGGGAGAGAGGGAGGGAGAGGGAGGCGCACGCCAACAGAAACCCGCCGCGCTCAGACGCGGGCCTGCGGCCACGTCCCTCCGCAGCCGCCCCAGCAGCCGTTCCCGCTCCCTCGTCCCCCTCTCCCTGCCCACCCGGCTTCGCCTGCCAAGTCCGAGTTGGCACAGCTCCCCCGGCTGCGCCGAACAAAGCCGTCACCCATCCCCGAGCCGGCGCTGACAGTAAGCAAAGTGACAGGCGCATCTTCCGCATGTTAATCCAAACGGCAAGAAGGCGAACGAGCAGCGGAGGCCCCCCCTTGCCATGCACACACACACCCCCCCTCCACCGACCCACGCACCCCACCCTTGGCACCCGACGGCCCCGATGGCCTCGTGCCGGGATGGCGAGGCCCCTGCCGGCGGGAGCACCGAAGCCTCCTCGTCGGCGAGGTTTAAATCGAGCCGAAGCCCTGCTCGGCGGGCAAACGAGGCCACTCGGCATCTGCTGTACCTGTTCCCGCTGCCTTCATCTCGCCTTGGAACCGTGACAAGAGCGCACTCGCCTCTGGTGGGCTCTCAAAGCCGCGGGTCTGTAACCCTTTGCAGGAAGTTGGCACCGATCCCAGGTAGGACTTTACTCCCCGGCTCTCGCTCTCTCCCCCCACCTCCGCCTCCCGCTCCCTCCCCTCCGCTCCCCCACCCATCCTGTCCCTTGGGCCCCTCTTGCATCCCCCAAAACACCACGTGGGCCCCGCTCCCTCTCCGCCGTTCACCCGCCTCGTCGGCCGGGGGTAACGTGGGGGGGCGGCCGACGGCTGCTGGGTGCCCACCGAGCCCCTCGCGCCCACCGCCCTTGCACACGTACCCTGGAAGGATGACCTGGGCAAGACAGAGAACAACAACTTCCTGCTCTGGCTCCCTAAAACGCCTGTTTCCACGCAGGGTTTAGGCAGCGCGGCGAGACGGGGGGAGCTGGGAGGAGGTTTGGGGGTTTGTCGTCATTGAACCAGGCTTTTTTTTCCTTTCCCTTTTTTCCCCCCCTTTTTCTTCTTTTTTTTTTAGCCTTTTTTCTATTTTTTCCTGCCCTTTTTTCCTTTTTTTTTTTTTTTTTTTTTTTGGTGCCTTTTTTTTTTTTTTTTTTTTTTTTTTTTTTCCGAAACATATATTTTTGCCCGGCAGCCCAAACCCAACGCAAGAGGAAAGGGGGGGAAGAGAAATCAAATGGGAAGAGAATAGCTCCAAGTCGGCAGGACAATGCACGGGAAACGGGGACATTAGAGTAGCTCTCGAAATCCATCACGCCCGCCCCGTTTCTGAACCGTTCGCCCCCGCGCCTCGTCTTTTTTAATTCTCCCAGCTCCTGAATTATTCCAGTCCACGAGCGGGAGGAGAGCGCACAGTCCAGAGTCCCTCAGAGCTGCCAAGAGCATTGCAACAGGAAAGAAAGGAAGCGAGAGAGGGAGAGCCAGGCAGAGTCCTCACAATCGAGCAGCGAGAAGAGCAAGGAGAAATTAACATCCAATTAGTGCCGTGTTTAACGAGGGAGACAGAGGCGGCTGTTGTTTTATTGCCCTGTTCTTTTCAGGCGCATCTGACAGGCAGCAGGGAAGGCACCCCTGCTCCGAGTGACGTCATCATATTTTATTTTTTAATTATTTCCCCCCCCCCCTCCTCCCCCCACGTCTTTCCTCCTTTAAGTTTCGCACAGACGATCTCGGCAACTCGGCCAGGGAAATTTGGGACTTTCTCGCATTCAAGCCACCGGCTCCCCCCTTCCACCTCCAGCCTCTCCCCCCCGACTCCGTCCACCGACACCAACCCCGGAAAAATAACCGCGCCAACCCACCCCAAAGTCTTTGTTCTTCCAAATAAAAAAAATAAAAAAAAAAAAAAAAAAAAAGGAAGGAAAAAAAAAAAAATAATAAACGTTGGGATGAGAGCCGGAGGGAGCCCGGAGGAGGTTTCTCCGCGTGCGCGTCCGAGTGCGTGCGTGCGTCGGTCCCCTCTCCCGTCCCTCTCCCCAGACGCTCGCTCGCCTTGTAAAACTTTGCGGCATGTGACGCTGCTCCGGCCTCCTCTGGCAGCTTGACAAGAGCCGCCCGGCCGCAGAACGCAGGCGGCTTTTAAGGGAGAAACTCCATTCCGAGGGATTAGAGGATTCACGTGCTCCCAGCGAGGGCCGGCGCCTCCAACAACGGCGGCGGCGGTGGCGATGCCGACCCTCGCCCCGCCAGCCCGGCCGTGGGGTCACGGCAGGGGGAGAGGAGCTGAGTTTAAAGCTGGGGAGGCTTTTTCCCCCTCCTGCCTCTCCCCTGGGATGGAGGGCCCAGCACCATTCAAGCACCAAGGGAGGTGCGTGGGGGCCACGGTGGCCACAGGGAAAGCAGTCTCGGCCCATCCCATGTTGCCACCTCTTCCCCAAAAGGCCCAGGTCTCCTCAGGGTGGGATAAAACACCGCTGGTTCCCCACGAGAGCACTGCCATCCCAGGGGGGGACAGGGCCGTTCAGTTTGGGGGGGATTTGAGGGAGTTTCCCCACCCAAAAAGGCCCAAAGCAGGCAAGGGAGAGCATTGAAGCAGCTTCCCCACATTCTTCCCGTCCTCTTACCAGCCACCAGCAATGGATGGAGCTGCCACTGCCATCGTGGCAGGTCAGGGCACCGTGCTGAGCTTTCCTGTCGTGCCCTTCATGGCCTCTTCTCCTTGTTTCCAGCTGGGATTTCCCTTGTTTAGGGGGGAATAGTGCAGTAGGACCCAGCTCCTCCAAAACCCCCTGCTTTGGATGAAGGCCATCCCAGAGGACAAGGCTGCCCCACTCACAGCAAGGACAGGGCCAAGTGAAGACAAGGGGACAGGGACAGGGCCACTGGTGCCTGGGTCCAGCCCAAGTCCCCACCCTGAGCATTTCCTGGCACCAGCCGTTCCCACCACCCTGGTGGCAGGATCTCCTCCGTGAGGGTTATTATCTTACCTATATATGTGTTTTTTTTAAGGAATTATTTGCCTACGTGGAGCCCGGCGCTGCAGCAGAACAGCGCAAACAGCCTTATCGAGGGCAGCGCTGCCGCAGGGCACTTCCTCGTGCACGGCTGCAGAACGGGGCCCTCCCTCACTGCCAGGGGGGTTGGCAGCCCCTGGCCTTCCCGCTGACCAGGCACCAGGGTGATGGACACCATACAACCCCAAGGAGAGGTTTTCTGGGATGTTTCCCCCCTGGCTCTGCAGCGGGAGAGCAGCGTGGCCAGGAGGGGTTCGGACTGAACTGAAAGGTCTTTAGCAGGACGGTTCTGCAGGGGAAGGGAGAGGACGGTGCAGTCATCAGCTGCATTTCCCTGGGCACAAACACTCCACCAGCATCTCGCTGCTCCCTAAATCCTGCCAGACCCAAGCATCCAAGCTCTGCGGAGAGACAGACCAGCCTTGACCTGAGATTCCCTCTCCCGGCTGCGGTCGCTGCCTCCCTTCTCCCCCCGGGCAGCCGGGAGCAGCCAAGGCCAAAGTCCCGGCAATCTCTGTTTTCCACTGAAGGCTGATAAGCCGCACAGGCACGGAACGGCAGCGATCCCCACCCATCCCAGTTTTGTGCAGAAGAGTCAATATTTAAACACAAGTTTGTTTCCTGGGTGGATAGAGGAGCGTTGGTGGGAGAAATCCCCGGCTCCATCCCGGGCGCCAGACACAAACCTCCTCCTTCCACCCCTTCATTTGTTCTCCCGACCACGTTTCACCCTGGATCCCCTCTCCTGTGGGGATGGGGCCCCATTGGCTGAGCTTCTTAAGCACCAGCTGCAGGGTCAAACACTTGCTAATGGGCAGCGATTTAAGGAATGCCCAGGCAGGGTTTGGGTTGTCTCCTTGCCTGCTCCTGGTGCAGACGCTGTCCTTGCGGTGGGACACCTCAAATGGAGTGTGGGACGAGAAGAACCAGGGATAGAAATGGGTAGAGGCGAGGAAATATTTAATCATCCTAAGAATGGCAGCCCCTGCTTCAAGGTAAGGCAGTGAACTGAAGGCTTTGAAACCTGTTTTTCATTTAAATTGAGTGAACAAAAACTATATTCAAGTGTTGTGTTTACAGCAAAGTTTGCGGGTCATAGAGAACTGGGCAGAAATTGCTGGCAGGAAGCTTGCTCTGGTGCAGGTTTAGGAAAATTCCTTAGGTAAATTCCTTAAGTAAATTCCTCAAAGGACAGGAAATAGCACTTCTCACTGCAGGGGCTGCAGCCAGGCTGTGCACAGGCTGCAGGGGGTTTCACAGGCATGTGACCAGCAGAAAGTGGCCTTAATTTGGAGGGTAAAGGTACATATTCCGGAGCAGGTGGTGTGTGATCTGGGAGATGCAGTGCCCAGTGTTGGAACAGGCAAAGGCTGGTGGGTGAGGATGCTGTGAGGGGGAAGATGGAGTGGCTGAGCCCACCTGACAGGTCTGACAGCAGCAAAGGGTCTCCAACATCCCTTCCAGAAGACCTCAGGGTCAATTTTAACTCCAAACCCCTAATCCCGTGTATATTGTCTCATGCAGCCAAGCCCTCTGCTGCCTCCACCCTCACTCCACATGCACCCAATGCAGTTTGCTCAGCCTAAACCTCCTGATCTTCCATGGAGGTGAGGAAAATCAGGGGGAAACTGAGTTTGTAACGGCTGGTTTAGCTCTGCTTTGGGGAAAAGACCAAAGGAAGTGCCTGTCTTAAACTGAAACCTTCCCTGAGAGAGCCTGCTATGCAGGAAAAAAAAAAAAATCACACTTAAAAAAAAAAAACCAGGAACACCCAAGAGTTGTTTTATAGCTGTATTTTGGAGCATAATTAAATCCTCTTTGAAATCATCTCTGGTGTTAGGGAACAGGTCCATGCATTATTTAACTTCTGTTACTGTAGCACAAATGGGGAGGGAGGAAGGGAGGGAGGGAGGACAGACAGGACCAACTTCACTACACCAAAGGGAGCTGGGTGGGGACTGCCAGTCCCAGCAAGTACCACCACTGTCCTGCAAACCCTGCCTGGGAAGTGTGGATCGACCCTGTCTGATGGAGAAAAACCCTGTGTGATGGCAGGCCGGGGTCCCCAGAGGACCAGGATGAGATGTGACCCCAGCTGGTGCTGCTGCAGCACACAGGAACCTGCTCATGGACCCCACAACCTCTTCCCAGGGAGTGCAGCATCACCTCTGTGCAAAAGACTGCTTCGTGGGGGAACCAAAATGGGGAAATCTGCCTGGCTGCCATCACAGCACAGACTGGTGCAAAAAAACTCTTGTCTGAGCACAAATCCTGCCCTGATGCCACCCGTGAGCTCTGCTACACACACAGAGCCAGCCGAGCTCCTGTGAGCCCTTGACCCCAATGTCTCGTGAGCCTTTGGCCAGCTCCAGGTTTGCTCCTTTATTCCAGGCAGCCCTGGACTGTGTGCCCCTGCTGCCCTGAGCCCTTGGTGTGCAGCACTGGCATCCAGTGCCTCCGTGTCCATCAGTAAGGGGGAATGCTGGGGTTTGGGAGCCCAGCAGGGCTCCTGGTGCTGCTGCCTGGGAGATGCCCATCAAAGCAGTCGGGCCAGTCCAACCCAGCTCCCCTCCCTGCCTGCCCAGCCCACACCAGCAGCTCTGCTGGATGAACCTTAAATACAAAAACCCCTCCCAAAGCCCTGACATCAGCAGCATATATCCCTCCCCAAGCACTCTCTCCATGTCCATGTCCCAACACTGCCCTGAGCTGAGCTGTACCTGTCTCTTTGGGACTCTGCTGTTCTTTGTAGTGGGATTGTTTCCCTTCTCTGTTTTGCTCCCAGGTGTTCAGGTACCCTTAAACCTTAAATATGGATCCCAGGTTGATCTTGCCCAGGATGAGCTCCCTGTCACACAAAGGTGTGCCCTCTCCAGAAAGATGAGGCAGGAGGGTGGTCACCTGGCATAACCTTTGCAGTGAGGTGACCTTGGATCTCCTGCTGCTTCTCAGCTTGGGCAGCACGAAGCAGTCTTTTTTCCCTGCAACTCCTTTAGTACCTGGGCATTTTCTGGATTCCTGGACTTCCCCAGTGACTCCAGAGCTACAGCCTGGACCAAAGAGACAAGACAACGCCCTTCTGCTCTCTCTGCTACACATCCCAGTCGAGACAGCCATGAGGATGGAGCTTTGGTCCAGCTGGAGCCTGAAGTCAGATGTCCAGAAGCCAGTCTGTCACTGGCCTTGCTGGAGAGGAGGTGCCAGTTCTGGCACCGTGGACTTCGGATCGGAGAATAGAAATATTACACATATCGAAACAAGCTTGGGGTTTCTGGAGGAGTCCACGTCCATCAGCTGTCCCTGCCCAGGATCAGTCGATGGGGAAGGAGGCAGCTGGGATGGGAGCCCTGCGGAAGAGCAAGCTGGAGCCACGGAACAGCTGCCCCTGTGGGGGAGAGTGAGCACAGGGTCAGGGCAGCTGTGCCGAGGGAACTGCAGCTGCTTTAGCAGGGATTGACTCGTGCCCAGGGCAGGGCTGAAAGGTCTGGGCACCCTGGGCTGCTGTGGAGGAGTAAGTGGTGTTTCAGCCCTGTGGGTGCTGGAGTCGGGCATTTCCCTCAGGGGTGATGGATGGAGAGGGGTAGAGACCTTTTGCTGCAATGCACTGGCTGAAAGTTTGCAGGCTGCAAGCTCGGGACAGGTAACGGGCAGACCAGCACTGCCACGGCTGGAACCAGCGCCAAACCAGAGGGACAGAAGCAGGTTACAGAGCACTTCTGGGGAATGCTGGAGACCTTGGGAAGGAGCAGAGGGAGCCCAAAGCCCAGCGTGTGCCCCGCTCCCTCACCTGAGCACTGAGGTACCTCCAGCAGTGGATCCAGGATGTGAAAGCGGGAGCGTAGGGAGGGAGGCCGGCGCGCAACCTGCGTGGCAACAAGGAACAGCTGAGGGATGTCACGTTATCCAGACAGGTAACACAAGAGCAGCAGTGAGTGTAAGTGAGGACACAGAAACAGTGTCTGCACTGGGCTGGCGGCCAAATGACCAGCTCGTTATTTACAATGCACCAGATCATGTAATTTAATTACCCCTGGAGTGTACAAACAAGGAGCGTTACCTGGATACGTTAAGAGTCCAGGACTGTATCTACTCCTTCAAGAGCCAGAAGACATTGAGAAAACACTCCACCAGCTGCTTGGATCCCTTTCCCATGAGCACAAATGCAGATTTCCTGCAGCAGTGGGATCGGGAAGGCAAGCCTGGTCCTGCTCCTGTCTGCACCCATCACTGCAGTAAGAGCTCTGCTTCCCTCGTGCCCCTCCCTGGAGCCAGCACGGTCCCTTTGATCCCTCTGCCTCCAGTCTAGCTCAGGCTGGACCACACCACCACGACTCTCCCTATTTCTCTCCACTTGAGCTTTTCTGCTGCTCGTGTCTGTGCCCTCTGATCTAAAATTATAAGCAACCTGGGACAGGAAACGAGCCAGCTCTGCGAGGTGCCACAGAGTTTATGGTTCTGTAGGAAAGCTTTACGGTCGTTAGCAGCGGGTTCAAACGAGGGGCTGCAAGAAAGGGAGGGAAAGCTTTAGATCTCAGTGTGAGGGACATACCCACAGTTGTTCACTGCCATGAGATCTCCCACGAGAAGGAATGGGTACGTCAGCATGCTCACAGCAATCTGAAAGCAGAGGAGAACAGTGGCCTCTCTAATGCTCACCATGTCAAAAAAGCTATCTCCAGCTTTTGCATGTTATCCTCATTTGGATGTAAAGTACAGACCAGCCTTTGTCCTCAGACCACAACCTCTCAGGTCCCAGATGGCAGGAAGAGGGGAAAGGACATGGCAGTTGCCTACATACCCCCATCACGAACTTTGTGTAGCTCCGGATCACTGACGCCTGGCTGAACTGCAAAGACAAACCACAGGGATTGTGGAGGAGGGGGATGACACCAGGCTGTCACAGTCACTGTGTGACACCCCCCTGTGCCTGAGGCGAAGGGCATGGGGCAGAGGAACAAGGCAAAAAGCAAACAGTGACCGTGCTGCACCCCAGCTGAGAATCTGGGAAGGCATTTGCTGTCAAATCAGATCCCCCAAACTGCAGGTGAGGCACAGCCCTGAGCAGACACAGCGCCTTCAGCCCTCTCACAGGGATGTACCCAAAGCCAGGTATCTGTATTAAATCAGCCCCTGCTTCCCAGTAACTCCTTCCAACTGCAGGTGCCTGGTCCAGACCCCAAACCCTCCACCGGGCACTTCCACTCACGTTATCGTCCACTGCGTAGGTGTTGATGAAGTGAGCCACGAGGTTGCAGCACCAGAGGAAGATGACATCCCCCAGGATGTGAGGGACTAAACCCCTGCAATGGCAAAAGGAGGGATGTGAGGTGCAGGAGGGTCCCAGTGCCACCTTCCGAGGTGCCCTGCCCTCCTTCCCTCCACCAGCACACAGGAAACTTACTCCTCAAAATGCATCTTTACTTTGGGAAGAACTTAAACAGAGAAGAAGATTTCAGGGAAGAGATCTCCCAGCCTTCACTCAGCTCTAGAGTGAGAAGTGTTTGCAATCTGTTGTTTGGGCATGGCTCAACTCCCCTTGTTCTATCCCAAAATCCCTCCTTGGCCCAACTCCTGCTCAGAAACCCAAGCAAGACACAGATGAAGTGGTTTCCATTTTTGCAGATGCTTTTTTGGATGCAGGATGAGAAGTTCATCTCATTGTGGAATCTCTCTTCTTTTAGAAATCAAAATGATAGGGACTGTTCCTGCACAACACACTCCACTGAAAAGTGGGATTAACTGGGGGCAGCACTTGTGTCCTTCTGATTTTTCCCAGTCCCTGCTGCTCCCAGGAGAACAGTTCTTTGGTTTATGCCTCCCACCAACACACCAGAGCTCCCAGCAGCGCCAGCAGCCCCAAACTTCTGCAGATAATGGCACTAAAAACATTAACAAAACATTCCAAAGGGTTTCTCCAGTTTGTTGGTGCTTTGGCAGCATCTGTTGCACCAGTGCAGCCATCGAGCACAGGGTCTCCTGCTTTTGCAGGGCTTGTTCCACCACAAGAGGATCCAGGTGTGTGTTAAAACTTGTGTTTCACCAGCAGATGTGGTCAGTTCTTCTGAAAATGAGCCTGTTGAGAGCCACACGAGCATTTGCTGGGCTGGAAAGAGCCAACTCCAAGCACTGATTTATTCATTTCTTCCCAAACATGACACTGCCTCTTGGAGCAGGAGACCAGTTTTGTTTCCTGCTGTGGTTGCTGCAGCAGCAGAGCAGCAATTGGGACTCTGATCCAGCGTGCTGTGCTGGCACTTTTTGTAGACAACCTCTGTATTTTCAAGGCCCTGGCAGCTCTGGGGATGCAGCTGAGGTCTCAGGGACCAAGCACAGCAGAAATCTTCAACAGAAGATCCACTGGCTTAAAAGATGTGAGACATGAGAGCAGCAGACAGGACAAAGAAATCAAAGCTCTCTGGTCCCAAAGAGATGGTCTGCTTTGTGTTTGGCTTTCAGCCTTAGTAAAAAACATCCTTTCTCTAACTCAAATTCAAGTCTGAAGCCCCTGAGCTGCTGCAGATACGATGGGGGTTTAATAAAGTCCAGAAACAGAAAGCTGGGCCAGGGGAGGCACATAAGGAAAATCTCACCGTTATGTTGATAGAGAATTGGATCGTTTGTTCCACTTGCAATAAGGATCTCATCCTTTTCTCCCCTCCAAAATAATGACAGATGCTGGCCCTGAGCTTATGGGATGCTGGAGACCAGGGAGAGAGCTGCAGAAAGGGACCAAACAAACCCAACAAGCCGAAGGCATCAGGCCTGAAAACCCCTCCTGAAACTTCAGAGCTGCCTTCACTATTATTGCCATAATAAAGTGAGTAGTACAGTTCTCACACCTGGTGAGATGTCCAACATCTGGACTAGGAATATTTTTGGAAGATGATGAAAAGCTGGAACAGCAACAGGCAGATGAGGAAGCCTGAATAATGTACAGTGATGTGACCCAGGGGGAGGAAACCCCAGTGCAAAGGACAAACCACCTTTGAGCTGACCATGCACAGCAGTTTCAGAGCTCAGGGAACATCCTTCTGGCCTGGCAGGAGCCTGCTGCAAATATGAGGAGAAGGGTGTGGACTTATCTCTAGCCAGGCACTCGTTCAGAGAGTGTGTGCTGCTATTATTGCTGGGTAGGGGTTGTAAGACCACAAGAAACAAGTGCAGTGTGATGATTTTAAGGGAGTGGATGTGCTGGGATTGCACCAGGAGGGCTCAGAGGAGAAACCCAGCAGTTTGGTCCTTCAGATGCAGTTTGTGTTCCCCTCACAGCAGTGGGATTTCCTAACAGGGTTATAGAGCATGTAGAACTTCAGAGCCCTCCTGAGACAGTTTGGGTTGTGTTAAAGCCTTTCCTGTGAACTATTAAGTTTAATTAGGCGACCAGGAGTGTTTATTTTATGTGGATGGAAGGGAATGTGGCGGCTGCTTTCATATCACTTCCTTGGGAGGTGGAGGGTTGTGGGCAGGTTGCTCCAACCAAACCCCACACTCAGGGACTATCCCAGAGGAACCTGGATTTAATGGAGGAGATGTGGAGCTGCACAGCTTAGCTGAGAAGATGCAGTGACACTCAATTGATGGGGACTCTGCAGACCCCCAGCCCTTTCCTCACGAGACCCCCATGATTGCTTCCCTCTTCCTGATGCATTCAGGTTTCATTTGGAGGCCCACATTTTGTCATTGCAGAGCCAAAGGCATCCTGAAAACCCCTCCTGAAATTTCAGAGCTGCCTTTACTATTATTGACATAATACAGTGACTTATCTCCCCACCACAAGCAGAGATGGCAGGTGGTTCTTCTTTTGTGTAGATGTGAAAAAGAAAGGCAGGAAGCATTAATTAAGGCTTCAAGCAAAAAGGTGTCCACTAAACTTCCATTTCAGTGATGCCACCAATTTGCCACCTTCCTGAAAGCAGCTGGAAGCATCTTTCAGCTCCTCCTGGTCCAGGCAGGAACACTGCTGAGCCAAGGCAGCCTCACACTCCCAACCACACAGGTAAACCTGCTGCCATCAGCTCATTACAAGCACCCACTGTGCCCTGCAGAGCAATGTGCTGCTTATCCAGGCCCTGGCTTTCATTTCAACAAGGGATCTTATTGTTGCACTTGATCTTGGTGCCTGTTGCACAAACAAATGCTCTAAATGGTTCACTGAAACACAAAGAAGGGTTAAGGGAAAAAGAAAGATAAGAAAAAATACAGGGTTTCCTCTGGGTTCTGAAGGTTTGATTGAAGATAAGATCTGGGGCAAACTTAATGCCCAAACTGGAGCCCTGTCAAAGGCACAGATTTAATCTGTGCTCAGGGGGGGGATGTGAGAGTCCCTTGGTCAGACAAGGTTTCAGCTCAGTGTGGCTCTGGCTGAGGTTGGCAGAGCAGCCAGGAGAGCCATCGGTGTCTTTGGACTGTGGGAGAAAATATTTAAACAACTCACGTACACAAAGAATCCCAGGATCCCTTCTTCCTTAAATATCCTGCCAATGGCACTGAACACACCACTGCCAAGAAAGGAAAAGAGCTGTGAGCGTGCAGGGGTTGTTCCATCCCTGCCCTGTGCAGCTTCACATGCAGCCCCCAGCCATAGCAGTGTCTCCCCAGCCATCATTCCAGCTTGTTCTCCTCAAACCAGGAAGGTCTGAGGGAAGGAAGGTCGTGTCTGCACTCTCCAATAACACCCAGGACAACACTCACCCTGCAGACAACTGTTTAATGCTGAAGATACAAGAGCTCTGCATGGCTTTGTGTGAGTGGACACAAGTGCCACAACCACAGCACATAACATGGTTTGATCAGGCTGATTCTCAGCCCAAGGACCCTGTCCTGCCTTTGGGAACTCACACTGGCTGTCATGGGTTAGCTGCAATCCTCTAGCACACTTCCATGTGGCTGCAGAGGGCCAGGTATTGCTAGAAAAGACTTGGAAAAATCCTGCAATGCTTTGTATTATCTACTCTGCCTCCCTGCTGCCTTCCCTTTCCATTAACACATAAAGCAAAAAGGCAGGAGAATCGCTGTGTGATCAGCAAGGTGTGTTACACCCCCAAAACCCCACAGGCACAAGGTGGAACAGAGGTGTGACAGACCCAGCCTTCCCATGTCCCCTCACCCTGCAGTCATCCACCCTCTAACCACAGCTCAGATTCATTTTTTGCTCTCCCAAACCTCCTGGGTTGCTGTATTTCTCATGGCATGAGAGCACCTGGCACCCCTGACCCCCCAGACCCTCCAGAGGTGCAGCCACTCACCTGTACTTGACTTCCCGGCCCACAAACTGGACCATGCAGCGCATGGAGATCACTGGGAGGAAAGAAACACAGGGTTGGTAAAGAAACAAATCCAGTTTGGCTTGCAATGGATGTGAAGGAAAATTCAGCCTGACCCTTCTGCTCTCCCTTCCCTCAACTCACAGCACGTCCAGCTCCTCTCAGTGCTCCTCATCACTTCAAGACTCATTAGAAACGGGTGCCTTTGCTGAGCCTGTAAGTGGTGGGAAGGATTTTGTAGAATCACAGAGAGGTTTGGGCTGGAAGGAACCTCATAGATGATCTTTTTCCAAACCTCCTGCCACGGGCAGGGACACCTTCCACTAGCCCAGGTTGCTCCAAGCCCTGTCCAACCTGGCCTTGGACACTTCCAGGGATGNTTTTGGTTTTGTTTTTTGTTTTGGTGGGGTTTTTTTGTTTTGTTTTGTTTTGGAGGTTTTTTTGTTTGGTTGTTTTTTGGTTTTGTTTGTTTGTTTGTTTGTTTTGAGTTTTTTGTTGGTTTTTTTTGTTTTCCTTGTGGTTGCGGTTTGTGTCCTTTGTTTTTTTGTTTTTTTTGTTTTTCGATTTTTGAGTTTGGTTGTTTTGTTTTAGTTTGGGTTTTGTTTGTTTTTTTTTTTGTTTTGTTTTGCTTTTTTTTGTTTTTTTGTTTGGTTTTTGGTTTTGTGTTTGGTTGTTTGGTTTTTTTTTTTTGTTTTGTTTTCGTGTTTTTTGTTTTGTTTTGTGTTTTTTTTTTTTTGCTTTTTTGTGGTTTTTTTTTTTTTGTGGTTGTTTTTTTTTGTTTTTTTTTTTTTTTTTTTTTTTTTTTTTTTTTTTTTTTTTTTTTTTTTTTTTTTTTTTTTTTTTTTTTTTTTTTTTTTTTTTTTTTTTTTTTTTTTTTTTTTTTTTTTTTTTTTTTTTTTTTTTTTTTTTTTTTTTGTTTTTTGTTTTTTATTTTATTTGTTTTGTGTTTTTTTTTTTTTTTTGTTTTCTGTCTTTCGTTTTTATTTGTTTTTTTTTTTTTTTTTTGGTTTTTGTTTTGGTTTTTGTATTTTGTTTTGTTTTCTTGTTTCTTTTTTTGGTTGTTTTTCTTTTTTTTTTGTTTTGTTTTAGTTTTGTTTTTTGGTTTTTGTTTTGGTTTTTGTTTTGTTTTTGTTTTGTTGTTTTTGTTGTTTTGGGTTTTTTTGGTGGTTTTTTTTGGGTTTTTGTGTTTTTTCTTTATTTTTTTGTTTTGTTGGTTTTGTTTTGTTTTTGTTTTGTTTTTTTTGTTTTTGTTTGTTTGGTTTTGGGGTTTGTTTTTGTTTTTGTTTGTTTGTTTTTTGTTTGGGTTTTTTGTTTTATTTTTATTTTTGTTTTGGTTTTTTGTTTTTTTTTTGTTTTTTTGGGGTTTTTGTGTTTTTTTGTTTTGTTTGTTTGTTTTTGTTTGTTTCTTTGTTTGGTTTTTTCTTGGGTTTTTTTGTGTGTTTTTGTATTTTTTCTGTGGGTTTTTTTGGTTTTTTTTGGGTGGGTTTTTGGCTTTTTTTGTTTGTTTGTGGGTTTTGTGGTTTTTTTTTGTTTTTTTGTGGGTTTTTTTGGTTGGTTTTTGGGCGGGTGTGGTTTTTTTTTGTTTGGTGGTTGTTTTTGTTTGGTTTGTTGGTTGTGGTTTTTTGTTGGTTTTTGTTTTTTTGTTTTTTTGTTTGCGTTTTTTTTTTGTGTTTTTGTTGTGTTTTTTTGTTTGTGTGTTTAGGGTGGTGTTGGTTCTTGTTTTTTTTTTCTTTTTCTTTTTGTGTGTGTGTTTTGTGTTTGTTGTTCATTCTTTGTTTCTGGTTGGGTTTTTTTGGTTTTTTTTTTTGTGTTGTGTGTTCGGGTTTTGGTTTGTGTTTTTTTTTTTTTTTTTCTCCTGAGTCCCTCCGCTCCGTGGAGCTGGCCATGGCCATGCTCCAAGAGAAGCGGCGCCCACTGGATGGGGTCTCACTGCCTCCGTCCTCCCCCACGCTCTTCTTCCTCTCAGCAGGTGGGGTCCGCTTGAGAAGAATGGACATCCTCCGGAAGAAGCCCCTATCCTTCTCCACCTCATGCAGGTCCTGCACTGACTTGGACTTGGCTGCCAGCCCGATAGGCCGGTCCCTCCGCAGTTCCAGGGGCACACCAGCTGGTGTGGGACGGTAGATGCCCTCATCAGAGACTGGGGGGCTGGCCAGGTGCCGGTCCTCAGAGCGGGAACGGGTGAGGAGCTTTAGACCCCGGGTGAGGGATGATTCCCGGCCCCTCTTGAACTTGGCCTCGAAGACCTCCTCCGAGTCGATGTCCTGGATGATCAGGGAGCTGGAGGAGCTGGTGGGCTTCACCTCCCTCCTCAATACCGGTGCTGGTGTAGGCGGCTTTGCAGGGCTGGCTGGTGGGGTCTCCTTGATGGTTGATGGAGTCTCCTTGATGGTTGATGGAGTCTCCTTGATGGTTGGTGGGGGCTCCTTGGTGGTTGGTGGGGGCTCCTCAGTGGCCGGTTCCCCAATTTGCGTGGCTCCCATGGCTTGCATCATCTTGGCGTAGGAAGACTTTATGTGGGTTTGGGGGCCAGGGGCAGGGGTCTGTGGTGGGATGGGTGCTCCCGTCCTGGCAGCCCCCTCCCCACTGGGTCCAACAGCCTTTGTGGATGACTTCTCCTGCTCCCTGTCCATGGGCTTCTTCCCCGTGGTGGTAGCAGCCATGCTGGCCCCAGGCTGGCTGTGTTCCTCAGGGATGTGTCTCCTTCCAGAGCCGGCCTTGGCAGGGGGAGCCTGGGGGACAGTGGTCTCTGCTGCAGGGGGTGTTGGTGGGCTTGCAGTGTCTGACGTCACTGTGGGCCGAGCATCAGAGAGGGCCGAGAGTGAGGGGGACTCCTTGAGCTGCTGGGCCTCTAGGCAGGCCACTGGGATCTCCAGGGGTGCACCAGAGCGTCGGTGCCGGACAACAGGCTCGGCATCCCCATGGCTGAAAGAGCTGCTCTTCTGCAGCCGGAACTCAGAGGGGAGGAGGCGCGGTGAGGTGGCCTCACTGGAGGCTGCCCGCACCAGCCTTGGCACTGCTGGTGCCTCCAACCGGCCTGGCCGCGGGACTTTTTTGTCAGGGCCAACCCCCAGGGTCTCCAGGAGGGGACCCCGCAGGCCACTGACCTTGCTGTCCCCAGAGCTGCCCCGCAGCAGCCGCTGGCGCATCAGCTCTAGGCGCTGGGCATGATCATCCTCCCCCCAGGTCACCTTCCGGCGAGGCAGCTCCATGGAGGCTGCCTTGGCCAGGGCCCGGCGGGAATCCCGCACCACTCCAGCCCCTTCCTCAGTCCCAGGGGACTGTTGGAGCAGTAGGGCGCTATCGGCAGATCCGCCTCTCTTCAGCTCTCCCCGACGGGCACTCCCTGGGGACTCCAGACTGGAACCCTTCCTCATGGCTTTGCGAGGGTACTCGGGCCTCTTCTGGGCTTCAGGGGCTTCTTCATCAGAGGAGCCAGGCGCCTCCACCTCTGCACACGGTCGCCGTGGCCCAGCACCCCTCGGCCGCTTCCCCAGGAACACTCCGGGCTTCCCTGTGCCCTGGCTCTGCCACTCCATGGCGGAGACCTCCCCCTCTGGCTGCAGCCCCTCAGATGGCCCAATGGTTTCATCATCCGTGGGTATCTCATTGAGCGACATGCGGGAGCCAGAGAATTCCACCTGGTGTGGCATGGGAATGAAGGGCAGCTCATCCAGGTCATCTGAGTCTGAGGAGGATGACAGTGCTGGTGACTCCTTGAGGTGCCGGGGCACAGCGATGGAGAGGTGGTTGGACGTGTCCTCGAGTAGCTCTGGGATCGGCCGCAGCACCATGTTGCACTTGTAGCTGATCTGTGAGCGCTGCAGCCAGCAGAGAGGGCTGGATCAAGCCCAGGTGCATGGCATGGCATGGCATGATCCTGCCGGTGCACATCACCCCATCCTGCCCAGCACACAGCCCTGCCCGCTCCCTTGCTCCCCAGCCCCTGCCTTCACCTGCCATTTCCGACGGGAGAGGAAGAGCTTGAGGTGGTCGGTGCTGATGACCTTCCCCTTGGCCAGCGTCTGTGGGGTGAGAGGACAGCGGTGTCCCATGGAGCCTGCAGCAGGCTCAGGGAACCCCATGGCCGCTTGGCGCTAGTCCCTGCCCAAACTCACCTTAAACCAGGGATGCTCCAGGGTCTGCTCTGCATTGGGTCTCCTGTGAACCAACACCACTGGGTGAGAACCATCCAGGCTTAGGGGCTTTGGCCAGAGGGGTAAGGGCAAGAGGGTCTGGTTGCCCGTACTGCACCCAGGTAGGGCTGTGCAGCCAGCTTGCCCTTGGGCATCCTGATGCGCAGGGATCCCCACCTTCCCTCGAGCACAAGGCTCATGCTGGAGAGGCAGGGGATGGGGAAAGAGGACCCTGCAGCACTCACAGCCTGTCGTTGACCAGCACTTTGATGACGAAGCCCTTGGCTTCCCGGGTGAGCCCCTGGAACATCCTCTCCTCAAAGGCCACATTGTAGTTGCGGATGTTCATCAGCGTTGTCTTGTCGTTCTCTCCCACAAAAGGGGAAATCCCCGTCAGGCTGCCAAGGAGGAGATACTGTCATTGGGCCGTGGGGACATGGGAAACAGCATGAGAAGTACAGGAGACTGAGGACAGGACCTCACACCCCAGCCCTGGTGCCAAGGGGAGAGCAGAGGCAGGAGCAGCTGGGGAGGAGGCTGAGTCTGCAAGGACTCATGTGCATGATCACATCCTCAGCTCTGGAACTGGTGAGGGTATGGGAAGGGTGTCCCTCCCATGAGGGCACACCAGGGCACTTACCAGAGGTATGCGATGACCCCCACAGGCCTGTGGAGAGAACAGTTATTGCACATCATGAGCCCTCTGGGGTGCAGCCCCTGCTGACGTAGCAGGGAGCCTACCAACCACCCCAGGGCCACCCTTACCAGATGTCAGTGACACTGGAGACAGGGGTCTGGTTGACGATCTCAGGGCCCACGAACTCGGGGGTGCCATACTTGCAGTACTGTGGCTCCTCAGGCGTCAGTTCCTGTGCATTGCCGAAGTCGCAGATCCGGACCTGCTCGCTGCTCAAATCTGCCATCAGGAGGTTTTCTGGCTACAGGACAGTGCAGAGCAGAGTGGAGCTTGGCAGGATGCAGGGGCTTTCCCTGGTGCTCTTGGCACTGGGGGCAATGCCTCCCAACTATATACAGGAATGTTCCCTGTCAGCAGGACCAAGCCCCTGACAGTGCACCAGGAGCCCTTCCCTCAGGGCACAGGGCAGGAGGGGTCTGTAAAGGCCTACACTCACTTTGATATCCAGGTGCAGGACGCTGTGCTGGTGCAGGTAGCAGATCCCTTCCAGGACCTGCCGCATGTAGGACCGAACCTGCAAGAGAAGGACTGAGGAGGATGAGCACTCTGAGCATGGGTCAGCCCCACACTAGCCCTGCGAAGAGGAGAGTGTGGGCTGTAGCCCCCTCAGTAGCCTGATACAATGAACATTGCATATCTCTAGGCTGAAACAGATCCCAGTGTCCCCAGAATCCCTCCCTTCTCCATCACTTTGCCCCCACAGCATTTACTCACCTCTGACTCACAGACCGAGGGCTTCCTCACCATCCTGTCCAGCAGCTCTTCCTCAGCACAACTGGGTCCCAGTCAAGGAGCACAGAAATTCCATGCTCAATTGTGCCCTGCATCCAGTTCCTCTGCACCCATTCTGCCCACCCATTCCCCCAAAAGCCACCTCTCATCCCCTGTGCAGCGCACTCCTGGGGCAGTGCCTGGAGGATACAGCTCCATGACTATTATGACTGCATTCTTCTTCTCAAAGGCATCATGGAAGAAGACGATGCGCTCGTGGTCCAGCTGCGAGAGAATGTGCAGCTCCCGCCGCGCTGACTGCTTGGCCTTGGTCCTCCCAGGGATGAACTTGGCGGCAAAGTCCAGCCGGCTGCTCTTCTCTGTCACCCTCCGCAGATAGGAGAAAGCCCCCCTGCAATGCAGCAGTAGGGGCAAGGGAGGATAAGAAGGTGGGCAAGCAAGAGACACCCCCCCTTCCCTGAGCAGCTGGTGCAGGCACTCACTCTGCAGGGAGCTGCCCACAGCTCTCCATGACCATCCATGGAGAGACCCCAAGCCTGGCTTTTTTCTGGCTACCTCAGCTCCCCACCCTAAGCTAGCACTGGAGTATCCATTGACACCTGAGAGCAGCCCCAGCACACCAGGATGTGGGGTACTATGGAGCTCAGTTCCCCATGTTGGAGCCCCAGGGTGCAGCCTGGCTTCAGCAACCCTGTCCCTGTGGTTTCTGGGGTGCCCCCTCATGCCAGCAGACACGTACCTTCCAATCTCCTCGTGCACATCGTAGTAGTCAGTCAGGCGTTGTGCCTTGTGCAGTGCATCCTCCTCCATGGCAGCATCAGTACTGGGCTGGACTGGGGGAAGGAAAGGCACTGGCATGGGGCAGGCCAGGCACCCAGGCTCTATCCCCAAGGGCTGGGGGGCCAGTCAGTCGTACCTGCCTGCACCACCAGCTCTGCCTTGCAGGAGACCTCCCCAGCCAGGTTCTTGGCCGTGCAGGTGTAGACACCACTGTCAGGTTCGGCGGCACCCAGCACCACCAGCGAGCACTCGTTGTCCTCATATACGAAGCTCAGGTGGCTGCTTTCCTCCAGCAGCTCCCCATCCTGAGGGTGGCAGGGGTGTTGGGGACATCCTGTCCCATCCCTGACCAGCTCCCACCGCCCTTTCCCCATAGTTAGGGATGGGGCACACCCTGCATCACCAGGGTTGAACACAACCCTGAAATCCCAGTGCAGCATCCCAGGTGAGGCAGCATGCAGGTCCAGTGGGTCTGTGGGTCAGGAAATGGTTGGGAGCTCCCGGCCCACCTTGTACCACATGATGTCCGGCAGCGGTTTTCCCTCCACCACCACAGCGAAGCGCGGTGTCTCCCCTTCTTGGACATCAATGTCCTCCATGATGGTCTCAAAGCGTGGTGCCTCTGCCAAGAGACAGGGCATGGGGCACCACGGGACAGTGTCACTCCCCTACCACTGGCAGGGGGTGTATGGCTGTGGGGCACTGCAAGGAAGTGTCAGCTCATGGTGTAGGTGCATGGAGTAACATGGGGCTGTGCCACCCCAATGCACATGGGAGCGGGACATTACGGGGCAGGCCACCAAAGGCATGTGCCTGCAGCACCATGGGGCAGTTCCCCATTGCTGTGGGGCACTGTGAGGCAGTGCCACTGCCAGCACACAGGCATGGGGCACTGTGGTACTGCATCTTCCATTACATGTGGATGTGGGGTACTGTGGGGCAGAGCCGCCAATCACAACTCTGTGGAACATTCTGGAGGGGTCCTCTATGGCTTTTGGCACTGGGGGCAGTGCGTCCCAACTATATACAGGGATGGGACACCCTGCAGCAGTGCTATCCGTGGCATATGGCTGAGGGACACCATGGGGCACTGCCTCTCCATGCACATGGTCATGGGGTACATGGGACACTTCTGCCCAGGTCAGATGGGTATGGGACATTAAGCAGCAGTATCAGTGCATGGTTCATGGTCTCTCAACCCCATGGGTCATCACCACGCTATAGAGCAGCATCCCCATATGAGTGTGGAGCACTGAGGACCAGTGTCATGCTATGGGGCAGTGCTCTAATGGCATATGGGCATGTGGCACCATAGACCAGTGCTACCCTGTAGGGCAATGTCCCCGCCCATGGTATATGGGCTTGGAGTACTGTAGGGTGATGCACTGTAGGGTGGAGGGACACAGCCCCTCAGTGTGGGGGCACCTACCTGCAAGGTGGAGGCGGAGGGTGCAGCGGGCAGTGCCGTGACGGTTGCTCACCTCGCAGGTCAGCAGCCCTGCAGCCCCTCGGCCCACATGCAGCAGCCGCAGGCAGTGCTGGTCGTCATCCGGCATTGTCACTTCGCATGTGCCTTCCAGCTCTCCCAGCACCTGCCCACCCCTGTGGGCACACCAGCTGCCACATCACAGCTCCACAGGCAGCCCCAGACCCACTACCCCACTGATCCCACTCCAGAGGCTCATGACCACCTCCTGACCCACAGACAGCCCCAGTCCCCACCCTGCACTCCCACAAACTGCTCACACCCCATTGTTAGTTCTGCCTTCTGAATGGCTCTTCCCCTTAAAACCCCACAGACAGCATCTCATCCCCCCCCTCCTCCCCAGCTCTGCACAGCCCTGAACATCACTGTTGTGTGCACCTCCTGCCCAGCCCCAGGGAAGGAGCCACACACACACACACATACACTGTGGGCTGTATAGGAAGCTGGTAGGGAAGCCCCTCTTTATGCATCCCGTGGAATGATGCTGGGCCATCTCCTACCTCTTCCAGGTGGCAGTGGCCTCCACATGGTTGATGGTGATGGTAACAGAGGCTGGCTGGCCCTCCACTACATACACAACGTCAGGCTTGTCCAGGATGACCGGTGCCTCCTCCAGGTAGGGACCTGTCACATGCATTGTCACCACCCCGCCAGACCCCATGCCGCCCAGCCCTGGGCAGCTTACCACCTGACAAGGGACAGAGACCTCCACCACAACTACCCAACCCCTCCCCACTGCCCTTCTCACCCCGGTCCAGGAGCTGCACAGGCCCCACAGGCGGGGATGGCTTGCTGTTGGTCTTGGGGGTGGCAGTGATGACACGGAAGAGGTACTGGGCACCCTTGGTCAGCCCATGCACTGTGTAGGTGGTCTCCTGCACGCCGGTCACCAGCACCACCCACTGCATTGTGCCCAGCACTTGCATTTGCACTGTGTAGGTCACTGAGTTGGGGTCTGCAGGGGAAGAGAGTCAGTGCAGAGGCCCCAGTATTGGGCTAGCCCATAGGCCCCATCACGGCATTACCCACCCCCTGCCCCCTCACCTATGGCAGTGTCCAGCCACTTGGGTTTGTTCCAGGTCAGAGTGATGACTCTACCAGTTACTGAGGCCACGGTGGGGGGCCCATCTGGGGGGGTTGGCACCACATCTGCATGGGGAAGTGGACAGGGATGTGAGTATGGCCACTGCCCCCACTCCTCAGGGCATCTACCTTACACCCTGGAAGATGCTGGCTGAGGGGATGGATGAGGCCAATAATTCTCCCTGGTTCCCTGGTTGGGGGTCAGCCTGGCAGCCCTTGTGGAATTGGTGCTGCCAGCAAGCCTCATGTGGGACCTGAGGGTCCAGGGATGGGTCCTGACCCCACAAGATGAGAACTGTACTGCTGGCCCCACAGTCCCCTCCAACCTGAACCGCCCTGTGATCATAAGCCCCTAAGATCTCACGACAGCAACAGGGCACAGCCTGGCAGGGTGGCATAAAGTTGCTGCACATCCCCAGTGGTGCCCGCTTCTGCTTACCAGTGACATAGAGGTGTGCATAGCACGTGGCCTTCCCCACTTTGTTGGCGATGACGCTTTTATAGACACCAGCATGTGCACGGCTGACAGCTGTGAACACCAGGCGATGGATGTCCTTATCTGGTGGGGAACAGGAGGACACAGGTAAGACCTTACCAGCTAAGCGACACAGAGCTCCCCTCCCTGCCTCATGGGCCATAAATGTCTGGGGGTTGATGCCTTCTCCCAGGGTGTTCCCCCTTCTTCCACCCCAGGTGGAGGAACCCCAGTGGGCGAAGAGGGCAGTGGGGAGTCCTACACTGCATCATCTTGCGGTCATCGGTGCTGTCAATACGGGAGCCATTGTGGTACCAGGTGATGGAGGGGTAGGGCATCCCGGCCACCTGGCACTCTAGCACAGCCTCCTTCGACTCCACCACATCCAGGTTGTGCAGTGGCTTCAGGAAATCAGGCATGGTGAAGCACTCTGTCTCTGTCTCCACCTGTTCTGGCTCCTCCGGGATGGATGGCATCTTCTCCAGCTTGGAGCTGCAAAAGCCCTCA